TATCTATCTATCTATCTATCTATCTATCTATCTATCTATCTATCTATCTATCTATTGTATCATCTATCTATCTATCTATCTATCTATCTATCTATCTATCCATCCATCTATCGTGAAATACCACTCACGCATCATCACAAAATCTCCAGAACCGTAAAGCCTACAAACTTGAAATTTGGCACATATGTTCCTCTTGGCTTCTAGGGGCTCACTAAAAAAGGATTTTTCAAAATGACCATCAAAGGTATTAGTATTTTGTTATATTATTGTTATGAACATGCTCTGATGCTAAGGAGTTCTACTCCCCCTCCCCACCTGGAAAGAAATCTCTTCCAACTGCAGGACACAAGTAGAGGAGTTTCAGTTTCAATTTCACAGCACCAAGCAGCTTTAGTACAAGAACAGTTGAGCTAAGCCACGCCCAGGATCCTTGCTGTCACCCTCTTGCTCACACAGCAAATACTCTTTCCGTTTCCAAACAGCCCTCAACTCTCTCACACCCTGACAGGACGCTAGCCAGATGAATACTGATGGATGCTGGTAGGTAGAGGTAGAATTTTTTCCCCCTTATTTTCCTTCCCAAAAACTAAGCCCGACCACACAGTTTGGTAGCGAAGCACGGATATCGAGCTAGTTTGTTTATTTATGTATTTATTTGATTTATTTGATTTGTCAACTGCTTACAAAGTAATAGGTATAAGTATAAACATGAATAAGAATTCAGGAAATAGGTACGAATAAATGGGGGCAATAGGACAGGGACGGTAGTACTATACAGTAGGTATTATACAGGATAGTCCTTGACTTACGACCACACTGAAGCCTAAAACAAGGTGGATAAAAATAGGTGATTTTACTGCTGGGTAGGCTACCAGAACAGTATAATAAAGGGAATACATATTTAACTTTGCACATAGTAACGGCAGCAAGAATAGGGTTTGCACAACAATGGAAAAATGACGAGGTCCCGACAGATGAAAGCGTAATTTTTAAAAAAAATTAGAATGTGCTGAGATGGATAGATTGACACTTAAGATAAAAGAAAAGGAAGAAGCAGGATATTTTTTTTTTAAACATAGGATTTATTCTACCAATGGAATAACAGAAACAGAGGTTAGAAACTAAACAGAATCTAAAAAGATAATAAAAACCTGTACTGGAAATTCTGCAAGATGGTCAGGTGATCAAGATTCAGATGCTTGGCAACTGACTCATATTTATGACGGTTGCAGTGTTCTGGATGCTTGTGAACAGCTATTGGGACTTTCTAACCAGCAAAATCAGATTCACTTAACAACCATGTTACTAAATTAACAGCTGCAATGATTCACTTCACAATTGTGGCTAGAAAAGATCATAAAATGGGGCAAAGCCCACTTAACAAATGTCTCACTTAACAACAGAAATTTGGGGCTCAATTGTGGTCATAATTGTGTTAGGAATGTAAGTCACCTAACAGTTAGTTGGGTTGGAAAATATATAAACCAGGGTAGACATTTTAATACTGTCTCTTTAAGAGAATGCTAAAACTGTTACTGGATGTGGTTCCTCAAATGGCCATAAGATGGAGCCAGAAACCTGGGTTGTTTAGTTTCTGTTCTGTTGTTTCTGGAGAGGGTTGCCATTCCTATTGACTGTTGCTGATCATAGTTGGATTTGATGTAAGTCTGTTACTGAACTGTTTTTGATACTGGACTTTGTTATTGGATTATCTCTGGACTGAAAACTGACTGCTTTAACTGTGAATGACTTGGACTGCTTGTTTGGACTTTGCTTAAACTTTTATTGGAAGTAAAAACCTACATTTTACTATACAGTATATCTGTGTGCTGTTTGTGTGTTATTCTTCACCACTCTCACTTCGTCTCCCTGTGTGCGCTCATTCTCCAAACGGGGAACTACCTCAACAGGACTACCTGTTAAGTCAACTGACTCATATATATGACGGCTGCAAGTGTCCATGATCATGCAATCTCCTTTTGGACAAAGTCAAGTGGGAAACCAGATTCGCTTAACAACGGTGGCAAGAAAGGTTGCAAAAGGGGACAGAGCTCACTTAACAAATGTCTTGTTCAGCCACAGAAAGTTTGGGCTCCTTTGCGGTCGTTAAGTCGAGGACTCCCTGTAATCTCTTTGAATGCAGATTGCAAGCCTGCTTTAAATTTTTCCTACTTTAAAGGGCGGTTTAATGCCCTTGAAAGGCAAAATCTGGATAGCAACTGACATTTTGGGAAGAGAATCAAAGGCTTCTGTCCACCAGAGAGAGGCAATCGATCCCATAAATAAAACTGGTTTTCCAGCAACCTTTGATAATCCAGAGGGCGGGTTAGTTTCAGGGGCGAGAGATTGTCCATCCTTCCTAGACCTCAAAGGAGTTTCTCTTTGCTAGGAACACAGCAGAGTAAACAAAATAGGACAACTTGCACCCAACTCAGCCTTGGTTGTTTGAAGAACAAAATGGCCTCTGGCTTTATGTAAACAAGAGGGAGGGAACCAGAATCAACTTCCATCATTGGAGGTTTTTTAAGAAGAGATTTTTAGGATTAAGTGAAGTTTGGCGTATTTTTTTCCGGGCATTGCATCACATGTCCAAAATATTCTAACTTTCGCTTTTTAATGGCCATCTTTCACCTAATTCTTCAAGGAGATCCAGGCACAAGAAGAATCTCATGGCTTCACCATCTAAGGCAGTGGTCACCAACCAGTGGTCCATGAGAAAATTTTGATGGTCTGCTGAAAATTTTTTTGTGCTTTTATATTGCACTAAATACTATTTTTTTAAAAAAAAATCATATTAGTGGTCCGTGGGATTTAAAATTATGAATGTAGTGGTCCTTGAGGTCTGAAAGGTTGGTGACCTCTGATCTAAGGGACCGGCTGGGACAAAACTCAGCAGTACTTTTTCGGTAAGTTACCCGCTTGCGACCTTCTGACCAAGAAAGTCAATGGAGGAGCCAGATTCACTTAACAACCATGTGACTGACTTAACAACGTCAGTGATTCGCTTTGTCAACTCGTAAAACATTCCTATGCCCGTTTTAGTAGTTGGAAGGGAATCTGGAAGAGCAGTGAGGCAGTTTGGAATCGAAAGTACATTCCATTCATATTTTCTTCAAAGACTGATTAGATGGCTGAAGCTTCTGCCTCAAAAAAATCTAATTGGAGAGCATGACTGATGGATATGACGTCCATCTTGGCTATGGATGGTTTTTTTTGTTGGGTGATACACCCAGAGGGGTGGGGGGAAAAGCAGGATAAAGAGTGACAGTGAATTACGTATCTCAGAGTTGGCTACGCCCAGATTAGTGCCAGAGGTAGAATGTTACCTTCAAATAAATCCTCTTTCGTTTTGGGAGTGTGGCTCAAGGCTCATGATTTAATTGAAGTAACTGCCGGAACCCTGACAGAAAGTACATTCTAACTCTTATCTTTAAAAGATTGTAACTAAAATACCAGAGCTTTTCCCCGGGGAAATCCTTAATTGGAGAATGTGATTGATGACACCTTGCCTGTGAACATGCTCAATTGGAGAATCTGGTTGATGAGACACCCAGCGGGGAAACAGGGTCACAGGAGACTGTAAATGACGTATGTCAGAGTTGGCTTCATACAGGGCAGTGCCAGTATGTCACCTCTAACGAATACTTTGAAATTTTTTGAAGTTTGGTTCGAGAATCATGATTCAATTAGGGCGACTGCTGGAATCCTGACACACTTAACAACTGAGACAGGAGAAGTTGTGAAATGGGGCAACACCCGCTTAGCAAATGTTTCACTTGGGCTCAGTTGTGGTTGTAAGTTGAGGACTATCTCGATGGTCCTAACTCAAGAATGACTTGTACTTGCCCCAAGTCACGTCGCGTATAGAGTTGAGATATATTTGTAGATATTTTGTAAAGATGTAATACTATACCTGAATTCCTCGAGCAGTAAGATGATCAAATAAGGTTTTCCTCATTAATAATCTGTAAACATAGCAAGGAGATTATCAATTCATGTTCAACCACCAACTGTCCTTTCCCTCCATTTACAGATTGATAAAAAAGAAACTGTGGGCTAACTTTTCCCTTAAAATAACACTTTAATGGGTTATAAATGTTACCATAATACACCTGAGATCCAAAAGAGACAAGATGGCAGCTCTGAGCCAATTCCAGCTCCTTTTTTGCTGGCATCGTAACTCCAGCTGCCATCTTGACTTTTTTGACCTCCACAGACGCTTCCACCCGTTAAAATAACTGTTATCAGCAGCATGGTGTCCGCAGATTCATGCAAGATGATGAAGAACAGATTTATATATATATTTGTATGTGGATCTTTGGTTGTTCGGGTTTTCTCCTGCGTAAGATTCAAAGTATCTAGGCAACGTTTTGATGAAGTCTCATTCATTATCTTCAGGCTTGTGTCTTCGGCTCTGTGCTTCACTCAGAGCCAAAGACACAAGCCTGAAGATGATGAATGAGACTTCATCGAAACATTGACTAGATACTTCGAATCTTACACGGGAGAAAACCCGAACAACCAAAGATCCACATACAAATACACGTGAGAACCTCAAAAACAAACAAACATACATACATACACATATATATATATATATAATTTTATCGAGGGAGGGGTTATGGGGTTTCAGGTGGAAAAAGTCTTGCCCATTAGTTGTTAACAGACCCTGAAGAAACTCAGTTTCCTCCTGTCCTATCCTTCATCATAAACGTGGTTTGGGTGCAGGAATAGATACTCTCGGCATGTCACAGGTTGAGCTAACCTCTGAGAGGATTCCAACTATGGGCAGAACAGAGAGACAGTTTGGTCTAGTGGTTAAAGCAACAAGCTAGAAAGCAGGAGAGGATGAATTCCATTTTAGCCATGAAATCTGGCTGGGTGACTTTGGGCCACTCACTAGGAGACAGGGAATTCTAGTCCAATCTTAGGCATGAAAGCCGGCTGGGTGACTTGAGCCACTCACCAGGAGACAGGGAATTCTAGTCCTGTTTTAGGCATGAAAGCCAGCTAGGTGACTT